AATATATACACCTTACCAAAACCAGGGATTTGTGAGCAAGGATGCTGAACAAATACTTGGCTCCTCTATGAATATTGTGGCCCCTTGATGGCCCCTTACACAGAAAAATCCCAGATCTGCCACTGTCTGTAGCCGATCTGTAGCTTGGTGTCTCAAAATAAATCCTAAAAAAAAATTAAATTTATCCATTGCTCTCATTAACGATTGCCACTTACATTTTTGTGAACAAATCTAGCTGAAAGTCGCTGAATAGCAGCTAAAAACTAAAAGTGAAGCAAATTTCAAAGAAAACAATTAGCATTAATGCTTTTGAAAGAARATGAAGTAATCCCAAACTGAAAGTTTTGATAAATGAAATGCTAAAATAGTACAAAGTGTTTAGATTGCACGTGCAGAAAAAAATAGGTTAATATTAGGATGTGGTGATCACAGATTATGTGAAGTGGATTAACAAAAGGAAGTTCAGCTGTTTTGCTAGCTTATCTTGTTTCATATTTTCACATCAGCAGTTCACTGTGAGAACAAAGCCTTTRGGTGTAGGAATTTAAAATGACTCATGATTTTTTTTAAACTGATTTCAAAGCAGAGCCTATTACGAAATGTTGTTATACTGCAAGAAAACAAATGTTCAAACTCTAAGCTGGCCCATTATTTCACTAGTGAATATTCACAATCAATTTTACTCAAGATCTATTATAGGTTTCTATGCAGGGAATAAAAAAAGTGTGCGGCAGCTGTCTTTTTGTGCTGGGGCCAGAATTTGCAATTCATGAGATTGAGTCGATCCACCTCCAGAATAAAAGCGCTCCAAAAAAAGAAAAAAGAAAAAATGCCAACCTAGATTCTTGGATGAGGTTTTATGAAACTAGACACCTGCTGTTGCTCCAAATACTCTGTCAGTTCATACATGAGGCTCAAAACAGAAGTTTTATTTTTGACATGTATCATCACAAAATTTTGACTTAATACATTACACTTTATTATAAATTTGTACCACTGGAGCCTCGTGAGAATAAAAATCTTTAAATCATCTTTATTACCAAAACGGAAAAACATAAATAGTTGTTTGTCATTTTTTAAGAATAACTATAATATATAAATATACACACACATTTCAGGACTAACCATGTTCATTAAACATTTATAAATAAATTCCTGAAACTGGAAAGTCCAACAAATCTTGTTTKCCTGTCAGTGAACTGAACAATCACATACGCACACGCACACGCATGCACAAAAAAAAACTTCTCAAAGTGAGATACCAAAGCACCACAACAGATCTGACTGAAGAGAATACCTGTGGTGAGGAAAAACCCAGCCTGCCGCACACTGACACCGTTTCTTTGCAGGAAACTGAAAATCTGACGACCTTTGGGGATTTCAGTGCGAGGAGGTGAGCGACGAGCCTGGGCTGAGGTGTGTGTGACCAGACACAKCACAGATGCCTAAAATATACAGTTTTTAAAACTGATAAAGTCTTTACCTTAGTCAAACTACAAAAATACATCATCTGAACATCAATTCCAACAAAAAGGAAACGTAACTTCCTTGCTACTCAACACAAACATATAAACAATCATGGTCTTACTCATATTTACATGGCAGAGGCGTAAAACCACAGCTGGCTGCTACTGCAGTTCTAAGGGAAGCCAACGAAGCTGGAGGTAGAGTGGTGTTTTCTAAACAGTTTCTTAGCTGAAGATTGAAATTGAAAAACAGGGATTTCCCCCTTTTTTCCATTTATAGTTAATTATCGTCCTATAAAGGCTACTGTTGTTTATGTTTTCAGTACAAACAAGGGAAGTCAGTTTTACAGTGTCAGCCTGGATTTATAATGAGCTTCGACTTTTACTGATGATGTCAGAGACACGATCACTGGATGCTCATGTACAACGGATTAGACCTTGGAGTCAATTCAAGATGGCCGACACAGTCAACTGACCTTCAGAATCATAAACCTTGTAATAACTCAGCCAATTTAACACATAATGAGCTAATATTTGGCGTGGTAATAGCGGAGTAACATCCCCAACACGTGCTATTTTTACTTAAAACACTGGTAGTAACCTTTGCTTGGACATATTTTAGAGAAATTCTCAGAACGTAATAAAAGTCTGAACATCTAAAACTTGGGTTGCGGCTAATTAACATTACCCAACTCAAAAATGACTGTAACTTAGTCAGTTTTACCGATATTTAGCTAAAGGTTGGTGTGAGAGTAGCTGATACTCAACCCCATTACTTTGATCCCTATGTCACAAAATGACACGAGAGGGCGCAGGTGTTACTTACAAGGTTTMCAGCCCAATACCTTCTCAGCATAAGATTAGCTCAGTTTAAAACTCTGGCTTGAAAGCAAGTGGGTAAAACACACTTATTCACAGAACACCTGACTTTTCTTTTAAATTTGAAATCACGTTCTTTTTAAAAAAAATGTCAAAACCCACGCTACGCTGCACAAAGTCTTTCAGTTTCTCAGATCAAGTGGGTGTAATTGATGACATCTGTGGGTGTATTAACTATAAACTACTCATCTTAAACCACATGCAAGGCATTGGTTTTCCATGCAGTACCGTGGAGAGCATCCCTTCATGTTCAGTCTCAAAAGTCAGTCAAAAGCTTCTTCAGGCCGACATTCCTTGCCTCCACTTGAGCTTCTCCAAGCTTTCCTGCAGCAGCTGAGCACAGCCGGACAAATCCATGTGGTGTAAAGAGGAGTAAACGTCGTTCAGGCTGGCCGAGGAGCGCTGGCTCCACAGCCTCAGCATCTGGTACTGCTTCTCGATGGAACCCAAACCGGCCTCCAGCTCCACTCGCTCCATCTGCTGGTCAGGTACCGAGAGCAGACGCAAGAACTCCTTCCATCGACGCAGGGGGACCTCTTTGATGATGGCGTAGAGGACAATGGCTGGCCAGCGATCGGACCGCTCTTCCTGTCTGGCAGCTGGAAGGAAGGAAGGAATCACAGATAAGCCAGCAAAAAGATCAAAAACATGTTGGTAAAACTGAAAGAATCTACTGAAAGTCCAGTGAGCTGGGGTAAAAAAAACAAACAACAACAAAAAAAAAAACCACAGTTCTTATAATAAGACTATTAAACATGTTGTTCCACCCTAAAGAATATTCATTTTAAACAACTCTGGTCAAAATAAATATTATTTAAATGTGAGTTTGATGCAAATAAATGCCCCATTTGTAAATGCAGAAAGGATAAATATAAAACAGTCACTCATTTTCATTTTCTAATGAAAATGGAAAAAAAATACACGATGATGAAAAGAGAAGCGGAAATCACATGACAGCCGGTGTTTAGCAAAGTTAACCTTAAAAAGGAGTGCATTCACTATCTGATTTCCTTTTCCCTTTAATGTTTGAAATGGTGACTGGTGTAAAAAGTGAGGGTGTGCAATTTCCTTATCTCCACCTCTGCATGCATGACTGATTAGAGATAAAAGTTGTGGTGAACAAGCGCAGCTCAAAAGGTGACAACACTGGAAATTCAGATACAACGCCACACTTAAYGATCAGTTGGAGGGAAAGCACTTTTGAGGCTTTAGTTCGACTGAAAATGACCCCACGTTTAAAAGGGAAAAKATGTAATGACTTCTGACACTAACATTTATCCAGACAACCTGCTTATATATGTGTTTTGTATATAATTCTCATATATCTGTTGAATTTCTTTTAAGTTCACCATTGATGAGCAAATAAACACTTTTTAATTGTATTTGATTTGTTGCCAAGAATAAACAACTGCTTAGTTTAGTCTTAAACAGACATCAGCAATCCACCTCTATTAGGTGAAAAACACTGAACTCTACAGTGGCTCTTACCGGTGTGACCAGTGTCTGGTATTTGGCCAGAGATGTGAGCAGGTGGATCCTGACAGAGAGACATCATAGGAGTTTCCTCAGAAATGGTGAATGTCTTRAAAGAACAAACAAGAAAAAGATAACTAGACATGGGTTTTTATGATGTAAAAACAAGTGTGCATTGCAGCATGGCTTTGACTGCAGCATTGGACTTGCAGAATGAACTTTGACCAAGTTCAAATGTGTTTTCTATACCAGCTTGTGCCTGTCATGTCAGCAGGTGTTTGTAATTAAGGTAATTGTGTGACAACATGAAATTTGAAGAGATTTTTTTGTTAAAGTTGCATTAGCTGGGTTTTRAACCCTGATCTCCCACATGAAAGTCCATGACATAGACCATTAGACCAATAGAGCTGTGGAAAAGATGGTGGCAGGGCTTCGTTTGTATGTGTGCAGAAAGAGGCCACATTGCCAATACAATTATTGACACAAAAATGTATCATATTACAACAATCGAGCAGTATTAAGACAATATTATAGTAAAACATCAAAATACACTCATATTAGTACTGTAAACACTGAACTACTGAGTTGAAATATTAAACTATGGTGCAGTACCAACTTGAGTACAGCATGGGGCAGTATTGGACCAATACAAGGCTCCATTGACTGCCATTATAATTCATTAAACATTAATATTTCATAAACTATAAGTTTTACAGGCACCAAAAGGCATAGCCATCATTTGGCACAGGAGCTTTACAGATATAAATTACAAAGGCAGCTCTAGGACAAAGTATGCAGGAGGAGAAGCATGGCAAATTTGAGATGACTTGGATGGGAAACAAATCACAATAGTGTGCATTGCATTGGCAATGCACACTGATTAAAACACAATCTCTCCACCAGTCATCTCCCTCATGTGCAAAATTCCTCAGCAATTTTATTCTCAAACTACCAAGACACTGCCTCAGACCGCTGTGTTGGTTTAATGTCACTAGAAAGACTCTTATCAGAATTTCACTTTTGCTCGTAGTGACCTTCATGTGTCAGTGGGTGGCTTGATTTTCTTTTGAGCGTCATTCATCCTCCTACATAAAACATCCGCAGGCTATAATGTGACCTCAACATAATGTAAAGTACATGAAACTGAGTACAAACCAGTGGGGACGGGCTGCTGCTGTGATGACTGCATCGCTCTGCGAGGAGGAAAGAAGATATAATCTGTGAGTTTCCTGCTTGTAGCAGAACCCTCACCTCAGAAATGCCATCACAAACCAGACATACTGTTACAGTTCCTTGAAAACGATAGCACTTGAGACTTATGAGAGAAAATGGCTGCAATTCAAGTGTTGCGTAATTTAGATTAAAAAAACTGCTTATGCTCAAACGTAGAAAAGTCAGAACGCACTTGTAAACATGCTTGAAATTCTGAAATAACATTTACCCAAAACTGTCAATCGAGCAGAGAGGAAAGCAATAGTTCAATGATGATGAATGAATGAACAGGTCTTTTCAATTAGCAGTTCAGTACAACAGGTTACCTTTTAAAGTGCCTTCCTGAGCAGGTGTTTTTGCATTTTTGTTTCGTTTCCAGCAGGAATGGTTGTCTTGGTTTCTGTGCATGCTCCCGCAGAAAACCAGGAGCCAAACCAAAACCAGCAAAACTGCAAAAATCACCAAGGAAAGAAGCCAGACCATGTGGTTCTTTGCTGCAGAAACAAAAAACAACTCATGATGACTCTAGTATTCATAATTTTTTATGGTTTTAAAACAGATTAAATTATTTGAAAAACATGATAATGCTGGTGTAAAATATTCATGATTTATTGTAAATCATAAAGCACAATTCATTAATTATTAGAGCACAAAGTGGGAAGTGACAGTTGCCTGTTGGGACTGGTTGTACTGCAGGATTTGATGTGCTGTTTGAAGTCTTGAATCCTTGCAGTAGAGTTGAAGTAGTGGCTGTCAAGGTCAAAAATTTAGTCAGAAAATAATAGGATAGTTTAAAATTTCTGTGGAAAAGTTTAGCATAGTCAGTATCTTACATGGAGCAGAGAGCAGCAGGGAGATTTGTAGTCTCAAGAATTTTAAACAAGTTTTCTTGTGGGAGCAAAGCTAACTGCTAATCAGAATAGTACTTTTTTATTTATTAAACCAAAGAAAAAGGCTAAACAATATCACTTATGCACCTGATAGATGGTCTCCAACCAGTGGGATATGAACCTTGACCGGTCCATGGATTGATTGGTACCAGGCTTTGCAGAAAATAAATGTGACCCATCATATCAAAATAAGGACTAATTCAAATTTGGCCAAAATGACCTAATTACATTTTCAGATTCTTGGCTTTAAAAGCTACATTTTGATAACTGGATCATTCCGATATCGTAATTAAATCCATATATATGACTTAATTTGTTTTGTTGGTTACAATAATACATAAATATTTGGTCTGAATCCTAATTTGATGTAATTTTAATGAGGAATCTTTGATGTCCTTATAAAAAGGAAACCACAAATTATATTTGAATATTGAGATTTCCCAGCTAAAAATAAACAAAACTTTGCTAACTCACAGGGAAAATCTCAAAATTTTAAGGCGTTTTTCCTCAAAATCTGTTTTTTTATTGCTACTGCTCAAAAAAGTGCTTCAAAATGTAGTTTTATGGTTATATTTCAGACAGTTCAGATACATTGATAAGGCTTTTATTCATTATATTTTGACTAAATGCAATTTTTGTTAACATTTTAGTCAAAACACTATATTTGCCTATTTCTCCATAAACCACTTTTGGACTTAATCCTCGTTTCGATGTGATGGGTCACAAATAACTATATAAAACCAGTCTGTGGTGAAAAAACAGATGGAGGTCACTGATTGGCCGCAGTCAACATGGTCTTTAGTGTAAATAGCAGCGTTTCCCCTACCATTATACAGGCGGGGCGCTGATCAGCAGCGCAGCTGTAACGTTCCTCAACTTTTAAAAGGTAACTAGAGTAGTTTGTAAACTCAAATCCAGACAGAATCAGCTGTTGTACAGGTCCTGCTGGACTCAAACATCGAGCTGAGCTCCTCTCCTGTTACACACACACCGCAGGTCAGACAGACAGTCCCGTTCTGGAGCATTAACCCTTAAGGGCCCAGATAATAATCGGTCTTTAAAATGTGATAAATAAATTATTTTCAGTGACTGAGAGGAAGTTTTTTTGATAGTTGCATAATTGCATTTTCTAAATGTTATCCTTTATATTGTATCTACAAGAGAGCTAATTCTCAGAAAGGACATGATTTGAGGTTTTTACTGATAATATTTTATTCAAAACATGTTACAGAAGTCATAAGAAGCAGGTTTATTTTGAACAAACATTACAAACGTGTTCATTCCTACAAAACTGTCAAATGTATTTATAAACAACACTAAACTGATCCAGATTAACATAAAATAAATCATGTTTTATAATTAAATGTCTGTTTCCTGCTATAAAGAAAAATCCTCCTCCTGTCCCCCATGTTCCTAATCAGGGTCAGGGTGGGGCTGGAACCTGTCCTCGCTGCCTTTGGGTGAAGACAGGGGACACCTGGACAGGTCTCCAGTTCACCAGAGACACCTGGACAGGTCTCCAGTTCACCAGAGACACCTGGACAGGTCTCCAGTCTCCATCAGGGACACAAAAGAGACAATCAACCATCCACACTCTGTCACACCTAGAGTCACACAGAAGAGCTCCAGAAGGTTTCAAACTGAGAACTCTGGACTCAGATCATCTGCTGCACACAGTTCTGTTCATTTATTATCAATAGGAATTTGCTACGATAAATTATTGTTAATAATTAGCATTAGGAGTCCTTAACTTTAGGATGTAGTTAGGCAATTAAATATTCATGTATGTGTAAATTTATTACCATAATTGAAGGTGAGTCACATAAGTTTATGTTTTCATAAAACAAGTACCCCCTTCCCCCCAAGTGCAATTTTCTAGGGGAAACACTGAATAGAGTAATAAAACATCTCTGTAAAGAAACCATCTAACAAAAGTTTTAAAACGTTTCCAAAAAGAACTTCAATTTTTGAGTTCTGACTTGTTTTAAGTTGTGTGAATTTGCTCCTAAGTGGGCTATTTTCTGGTTAGCTGTTAGCTTGACCCTTCACGAGCATTTCTCTCTGTCTCTCCAAAGTGATATTGCTCTGACTGCTATCTACTACAGGTAAGACTCTGACAATTCTTAGATACACCATACAGTATAACCATTCTTCGATACACCATACAGTATAACCATTCTTCGATACACCATACAGTATAACCATTCTTCAAGGAATCTGAGCTATTGCCCAACAGTTATTTAAAAAACAAACACAATGATAAACTTATAGAAACTTTCATAATATGAATAAAAATTAGTTTGGCTGAACCTACAAATAACAGACAATTATTATTATTATTATTTTACTGTGAATCCATGAAGTTGAAACGTACAATCTAGCAGGAGGTCTGGCGTCGTTGGTCCCAACAATGGAATTGGTGCAAAAGTTGGAGCTGTTAAAGAGACATATGTTGTTGACAATGGTATAAAAAGTAATCTAACGCTACATAATCTTTTTTTGTTATTTGATTGTGCATGTATGTTATTTACAATGTGAATATTGAAAAAAAATACCACTACAACCTTTCAAATACAGTACATTCATTAGTCCCAGAGAAGGTCCAATATAAAAAAGGATGCACACATTTTGACATTTTATAAGTTTTTAGTGATCTTTTTCTTTGTGGTACCAGGTTCTAATTTATCCTTTTGTGATTTATGGAAGCCCAGAGGGTTAATCCTGTACCTAATCTTTGCATTCATCATTGAATATTTGAAGAGATTACTGAATATGACCAAGATCCAAACATGTACAGCGGGTAAAATAGGTATTGAACATGTCAACATTTTTCTCAGTAAATATATTACTAGAGGTGCTAATGACATGAAATTTTCACCAGATGTCGGTAACAACCCAAGTGATC